CATGTATGTGCGAGGGGAACCTTTACCTTTACCTTATAAGTAACAGAATAGCAGAGTTGGAACCCTCAGCTTAAGCAGGAAAACTTATACCATTTTAGACAAATTCAGTCTCTTCTTAAAAACCCCAAGTGTTGGAACACCCACAATTTCTGGAGGCAACTGATTCCACTGATTAATTGTTCTAATTGTCAGGAAATTTCTCCTTAATTCTATGTTACCTCTCTCCTTAATTAGTTTCCATCCATCACTTCTTATCCTGCCTTCAGGTGCTTTTTGGAGAATAGGTTGACCTGCTGTTCTTTGTGGCAGCCCCTGAGATATTGGAAGACAGCTATCAAGTCACCCCTAGTCCTTCTTTTCATTAAACTAGATATATCCAATTCCTGCAACCATTCTTCATATGCTTTAGCCTCCAGTCCCCTAATCACCTTTGTTCCTCTGCTCTGCATTCTTCCTAGAGTCTTAATATCTTTTTTATATCATGGTGACCAAAAGTGGATGTAATATTCCAAGTTTGGTTTTACTAAGGGATTGTAAAGTGATTTTAAAACTTCATAAACTTCATGTGATCTTGAATCAAAACAGATCCTTAAAATCTTGTCATTCAGTCCTGGTCAGCAAAAATCCATTAAGGGCTACCAGAAATAATTTTTTAAATCTTGATTAAATAAACCACTTTTTATGTCTTCCTTTATTTTTAATAATCTTGATCTTTAATCCCTTCAAATAATATTGTAAAGCTTGCTTTTTAAATTTCTGTTTTGTCTCTTCTCATAAAGTTCTCCAGAACATTAACAGAACTCTTTTGGAAATCCAATATCAGGAAGTTATCCAAGTTGCTTTTTTTGGTTTGACATTTGTACATTCTTTTTAATTATTAAGACATCAGCTGTTTTCATTTGTATATCCAGTTTAACATCTTTTCCCATACCATTCTTGTAGCTTGTCAGTTTTTAAATCCACTTTCAAACCAGACTCAGTCTTGTCTGGTAAAACTTGTTCTTCTTCCAAAACATATTTTAAAATCAGTCCATTTATAATGGTAGACACTTTTAAAGTTAATTTCTGGATCCATATGTCACAAATATGGTATAGTATGTCCAATGTTAAAGTATTTTGCTCCATTCTATGTTAGTAAATCAAATTTAGGCACACTTTCCCTTTAATTGTAACTTTCAGTGTTTTTTGGTTACTTCTAGTGTCTAACATTCAAATTCTCATCCTTTCATGTTTTCTTTTAAGATTCCAAAGCAAGAACATTTTCCCATGGGAAGGATGCTTATTAATTTCAAAATCTTATTTCAAATTCATCAGGATCCTTAGGTTTTTTTTTATAACTTTCCAAAATCAATGCTATTTACTGTTTGTTCTAAAAAAGAGACTTAAAATATTCTTACTTATCTTTAATTTTAATTTTTCTAAGGATTAAAGGAAACTCCTGGTGCATGTTGTAAGATTTGAAAGATTTTTAATAGTTGAAAAACAGTTAAGAAGCAATATGCAAAACTGATTAAGAAATGAAGCTTGGCAGAACTTTGTGCCCATAAGGCTACACTGAAGCTGGGAACTTGGTGGGAATCCCTTGACTTCAAGGCACTTGGCTCATGGGGCCCACTGCAGAAACCTCCATTCTTGCAGCTTATTCACAAGGAGCAGCTCAGCTGTTGGGTTCTCTCATTCCTCACATGGATTGTGATATCAGAGACATTACCTCATTTCTTTCAACGAAAAATAAGAAAAAATACATTCATCTGAGAAAAAAGTTTCTGTAGTGGTTTATCTTGAAGTTTATAGGCTTTAAAATAGGAATTTACTTAGTAATTTAAATACGATTGAATTTTACAGTGATTATTTTCCAGTCAAGCTTTTCGCTGCTGTGGTTGCATATTTACTCATCTGTTTGTCTGGGGTGGTGGTAGTGGTAATTGTTTCCGTAAGTCTGACATCAAACCATACTTGGAAACTTAAGGATTCCTAAGTGGTTCTACTGTGCATTTCTTTCCATACTAAACTGACTTTGCAAATTGTGTTGAGTGCTCCTTCCCTTTTTACAATGGCTTATCAGAATGTTTATTTTGGGTCTGGTTGCAAGTTCAGCCACGAGGAATGGCTGTTGGAAATCACTGAGTCACCTTTCCAGAGAACCCTATTTTCAGACTATTTTAATTGTTGCAAATGTTACACGTGGTGCGTTCAATTTATATTTATATTTAGCCGTCACTTTTTTTTTTATCAAGAAGAATAGGAGGGAGCTTTTTATAGAAGGCATGTGATGGGGTGATGTGAACTTCAGCAGATGTTTTTTGAATTGCTGTAAAAGGAATGACAAACAAAACTCCCAGTTCTGCAATCTTTGAATAAAGAATTGTTAAAAACATGACCTTTTTGTGGAAAACAAGTACTGATTTTCTTTAGCAGAAATATAATTGCTTTGGTTTGTCTTTTTAATCTAAACTGCAAAACAGTGACAAAGGGATATGAGCCATAACTTGGGACAGCCCATACATACATACATACATACATACACACACACACACACACACACACACACACACACACACACACACACCAGTGGTGGGATTCAATTTTTTTTACTACCGGTTCTGTGGGCATGGCAGGGGAAGGATACTGTAAAATCTCCAGCCAGAGATGGTATTTGTTGGTTCTCCAAACTACTCAAAATTTCCGCTACCGGTTCTCCAGAACTGGTCAGAACCTGCTGAATACCACCTCTGACACATGCATTTATACATACATACATACATACATACACACATACATACATATGCAGGTCTTGGCGTGTTCAGGTCTTTTCCCGTGTAAGATTGAGAGTATCTTGGCGATGTTTCGACGAGGTCCCATCGCCATCTTCAGGCTGGTGCTTTCGGCTTCGTGCTTGTGCGAGCAAAGCGTGATCGGAGCTGCCGTCTCTCTATAAATACTGGTGGGGAGGTTGGCTGTGTTGTTATTTCTTGATTGGTTGATGGAGTTGATGTTTGCACCCAGATCGTTACGACACAGGAGGCTGACACAGCCAATACCTCAGCCACACATGTTCTTACGAAAAAGCCAGCCAATCTGCAAACATCAACTCCATCAACCAATCAAGAAATAACAACACAGCCAACCTCCTCACCAGTATTTATAGAGAGACGGCAGCTCCAATCATGTTTTGCTCGCACAAGCCTGAAGCCAAAAACACCAGCCTGAAGATGGCGAGTGGGACCTCGTCGAAATGTTGCCAAAATACTCTCAAACTTACATGGGAAAAGACCCGAACACGCCAAGACCTGCATACCTGTACCCGTGAAAATCTACAAACACACATACACACACATACATTCATAAGTATCAAATTGTTTTTGACATATTATAAATACAAGGATTCTAATACAGTCCAGGTAATCTCTGACGTGTGATCACAATGGAGGCTGGAATTTCCATCATAAGTCATTGTGTGTCCAGATCTGATTGTACAACCATTCTCTATCAGTACGTTCCTACTACCATTTTATTTTGCCAATTTTGGCGTTGTAATGATTGGCGGGGGGAGACAATGAGAAGATTTAAGAGGTGTGGGGTTTGCTCCCTTCTTGGAAGCCTTTACTCAAGCTGCAATTATCTGAATGTGCTTATATATCAGTATTATCTATGGTTAAAAAAAAAACAATCCTTCCTTCCCCTCTACATCATTTGGCTTGTTTTTTAGGGTCTAAATGCTAGGAATGCCTTAGAAAATGCATTAATTTTTACAAACTCCAGAGGATCCTTCCTCAGCATAATGTTCCCCTAGATACTGAGATTACAATTCTCATAATCCATATGCAGAGGTCTATATGCTCAGAGAGGCAATGACTACTATAAAGTCATCCTCCTTAGAACACAGTTTAGGGAACATGGTATCACTTAGATGTTTTAGGACTGCAGTTCTTATAAGGCCCAGCAGGTATGGCCTGCAATTTTTTATTTTGAAAATTGTAATCTAAAATATCCTTGCTGTAGAGAGTGCTTTAGGATCTCAACCACTTGAGGAGTAGATACGTTTTGACTCAAGATATGAATTCGTATGGACAACAGTGCACACTGTTGTTTTCTTTGAAATATTGTGTGTGAATCTGAAGTTTGGAAATCAAAATGTCCTAACTTCTAATGCAAACATACCCAATTGTAGATTAATTGACATCTGGGTGTTGTGTTTACTTTCGTTTGTTTGTTGGGGAATGGTTATTGATTAATTTATATGTGATTTATATTTGCTGTGGTAAGTACAGTATATTTATTTGCTAACCTCCAGGAGTTAGTAGCTTACAGTCTTTACCAGTCAAATACAGAAATATTGTTTAGGTCCAGGTATGAGAGCTTAAGACTTTGCCATCTATTCAAAAGAGATGCTTCACAAATGTTCATGTAAGTGTATCTGGTATATTAAAACTCCCTACAAAGTTTCCATAATGTTTTTGACATTGCTTGGACAGCCCTTTTACTGATATCACCAACAAAACAAAATAATTGTGGATGCACATGCAGACAAGTAGGGACATTTTTCCAAAGAAGGAGTGCTTTCCTTATGTGTGAGTAAATTCAAATGCTTTCCACAGCAATAGCAGCTATATGCGATTGCAGTTAACATAGATGTTTTCTGCATGGGTATCCACAGGGTTTGGGGACCATATACTGAAATGATTGCAATGTTGTGATGCAGTCTCCACCTCTTTTGTACACACATTGTGATATGACATGCATGTAGATAAGGGAGGCACTTATAGTGCACCATCACAACATTTGTTTCATTGCTTGGACAAAGCTGCCTCGTTGGACAAATGCCTCTACTTTTTGCGGTGAAATCTTGAGCACATGCAAGTCCAATTCTTAGCATCCACACTGGGTCTTATCTTCCAGGTCATTGTCAAATTGTTACTAATGAGGTTACACCTAATGCGGCCTTTTTATTTCCGAAACACATTTGACAATATCTCCCTTTCTCTTCTCTTCTCTTGCAGGTGGACCTGGAACCTGAAGGGAAAGTATTTATAGCAATAACCCTCTCAGGCAGCTTCACCGAAGGTAAGAGGTATACTGTACCTTTTCTCTCTAGTCAGGTAATCGTTACTACTACCATAATACTTCCACCCACCATAGCATGACATTAAGCTCCAATTGCAACAGATGTAAAACTTGAATAAACAGAAGAATGCTATAATTGCCAAATTATGCATGCTTTGTTGGAATGGAGAAAAACTTGCATGGGACATCTTCAGTAACCCTTAAGTTGAGTTCAGAACATTGAGCCTTACCTTCATAATGGGATAGCTGAGGAACAGTGATTGGTTAAGTCACCTACTAAGTGGCCTACTAAACAGATTTGTAATTCATAGGAAGATCTGAACTAGGGACTTTGTTGCTCATGTATCTAGCTGTCAGTTTCCCTCTTAGTTGGGCTTTTTGAAACTTCCCAGATAAACTGCAGGGTATGGTTAATTTAGAATCTTTATTGTATCCTAGACTGAAACCATAGTAATGTTTTTTTTACTGCCAAAATAAGCTTATACCCTCTTCAGTGGTTTTTTTCTCCCACTTTCTTCAGAACTTAACAAACACATTGTATTGCATTTCTCATGGTTAATGTGAAATTGCAATTAGTTAGTGATCTATTTGACATTTCTCCATAGAGAAACTCTCCCAAAGTGTCTCCCTCACTAACCCTCTTGGTACAGGCCATCTAGAAAACAGTGAAGACAGCCTTCTTCTGGAAGGCTTTTGGTGATTGAAGATCATCTTGCAAAAGGGGTTGGATGAACTTTGATGGGAGTTTTAGTTATGGTGATTTTTTTGAACTGTTATGGATTGTTCTACCATCAATGTGGTATCATCAATAATTAGTGTGGACCTGCTTTTTTGCAGGGTCATAATATCCTTGATGATGTCAGTTTGTACTTTCGGGCATACACTGTAGCCTTTTCATTCATAATTATGCCTACATCTTACTTCCTTGCAGATATTCATCAATGCCACTCCAAAAAGTCCAGGCTACCTTCTTTCAGACTTAACCTTTTCTTTCCTCTTAATTTTACAGATACACGAGATATCTCCCCCCCCCTTCCTTTCATTTGTTAATTCACTCTTCCATATGCCATTGCTAGAAAGGTCATTGATTGATTTCTATCACCAATCATAGCTTTGATGAATGGATGCTTTCTCATGATGCAATTCATTTATCTACTTACTCCTACCATTTGCATCCATCTCCTTTCTTACTCTTTAAGTTAGACAGAGAAGCTGTAGACTTGGTTAGCAGTCTTAACTTAAAGCCCAGGTTTTCCTCCAGCACACATATGATATTCTATGCTAGCCACAATCTCTGATTTAAAGACTACCTTGCAATATCCCACAGTTCACTTTCTACCAGCTTGGAAATTTATGCATGTACAGACACATTTAGTACATACTGCTATACATCTCCATTTCTTATGGAAATAATTATTAAAAGGAGAGCTCCAAAATTATTTTTATTCTCCCCCCCCCCCATTTTTCTGTAGCAGATCCTGAACAGAAAGGGACAAACTTTTACAAAAGAAAGGAAGTAGACAGGATGATGTGCTTGTGGGCAGCCTGAATGTCATTATTAAAGAAAAAAAACCTATTTTTTTCTATAAAAGAAAAAAAAAACCTGCTATAATTTAGAGATGGGATTGAGTTAACAGGTTTTGCCCAAACCATGAATTCTCCATATGAATCCAAGCCAATTCTGCTTGTGGGAGAGCGCAGGAGAGGAAGAAGATATACAGTAAACAATGCGTAACCAGAGAAACTTGTATTGCAATCTTATTTCCATATAGAAATCTCACTACAGTGCGCAACTGCGTTAGCCTGGGATGGGCTTTCTTTGACACTGGGGTTCCAAATCCAGGATGTTGCAGGAGAAGAAAGTTAGTGACTCAGGAGGGGAGCAGCAGTTTTGTAAAGGCACAGGAGTAGGCAGTGCTGTTTTCAGTTCAGTATGAGCCCAACCCTTCACCATGTTTGTTGAAGAAAGCTGTGGAGTTGCCGGTTGAAAACAAAGCTTTGTGTGTGCCATTCAATTCAATTGTATGAGGATCGAAGGGAGTAGAAACAGATTGAGGACTGAAGGCTGCTGAGTCATCTCAACCTTCTGCAAGGTTTTTGCATCCTGGAACAGAAGTTGGTTGTCAGTCTAAGCCAGGGTGAACTTGAAACCTGGAATAAAGCAAGTTAGAAAGGAGGGATGCATAGACTGCAGTGCCATATGCTCCCTGCAAACAAATTGCTGCTAATTGTAAAGTTTATTATGTTGGAAAGAGAAAATTATTAAAAATGTGTAAAGAATAACACACAGGAGGAGGAGAGTTCAGACCCACATTTGAAAATGCATGAAGTGGCCAAGCCTCTCGGTCTTTCTTTTAGAAGCAAAAATGTGTGGTGGTGTGGTTATTCTGGGAAGGTGCTACAAAGGAGAAGCAGCCTCTGCAGAAAGAGCTGTGCTGCTCTGGGGGTGGGTGGGGGGAAGCAGGAGGTGTAGTTAAAAGAAAGAAAAACAAACTGGCATTACATTTTGCAAAGTTAGGAGCATTGTAATGAAATGTTGAATGCGAGACATAATTTATTCCTGCTTATCCTTTGACCTGCCATGCATCTGGGAGGAAGAAAAGTCTCTAGTTTGCTCACTTATGCAACTGTGGGAATTTTTTTACACGGGAAACCAGACTATAAAGAGAACAGAATAGAATGCCCACTTCTCCTCCATGCTGCATCGAGAGCCCAGGATGGGTTGACTCCTTCCTATGACGTCATAGCTGAGTCTGTACTAAGATATAAAAGCCAGACCCTGGAAGAGACACCAGCTTTTGACTCAGCTCCTTTCAGTCAGTAGCTGTGTCTCTGAAAGCTTCTGTTAGATAACACTCACCAGCGATCTTCAGTGCCGTTTTTCCTCGTTTCAAGTAAGGTTGGGAGCAGCGTTGCCAGAGCGCTGTTCAGGCAAGTTGGGCACCGTCTGTAGACCTCCCCCACGCCTGCGGTTTGAGCGGTCATAAAAAGCGATCGGCAAACCGATAACAGCTTCAGCCAGCTGAGGTTCTGTAGATAGCACTCATCAGCGATCTTCAGTACCTTTTTTCCTCGCTTCAGCAGCTCCCAGGATCTGGGCAGCTGCTCTTCCAGGAGAGCAGGGCTCTCTCTCTCCTGCAGCGTTGGGAGCAGCGTTGCCAGAGTGCTGTTCAAGCAATTTGAGCAGCGTCTGTAGACCTCCCCCATGCCTGTGGTTTGAGCGGTCGTAAAAAGCGGTTGGCAAACCAATACCAGCATCAGCCAGCTGATCATGTGGCCAGAGGCTGCCCTTTCCTTTGCTGACTTCACTCGGGGCTCTTTATAGCCTAAGGAGAAATTCTTCGATCTCGGAGCCTGTTTCCCATAGTCAGCAGCCATCTTGGATTGAAGCCTTCCACCACAAGGTGAGCGGCCATTTTGTAAGCCCGGGGGCCAATTTATACCCTAAGGGGCTTAATACAAAAAATTTACAAACAGTTTCTTTCCATCGTAAGAGCCTTTATTCTTCAAATGGAGCAAGAAAAGGGTCAGGCAGAGTCCCCCCCACCAGTGGAACAGTCTCTTAAGCCAATAAGAGAAAAAGTTGTAGGCAACGCACCCAATCAGTCCAGAGGGAAGTGGCTGCTAAAATCAGAGCTAAGGCTCTAGCCCCTAAGAAGGCAACTCAGGCTGAGTTGAGGGCAGAAAAGCGCAGACATGCAGCCCTAGAGAGGCAGTTCAACAGAACTATTCAACAGTGCAACTACAGCATGTTTCAGGTGATACCTGTGGGCCCCAGCCAAGCTCTCCCAGGGGAGGAGAAGTTATCTATGAGCCTGTCTCCTGAGGCTTTTGCAGTACAATGATCCTCAGGATCTAAGCAGATCTGGGCCTTATTTCCAACAGGCTTCTGGGCCCTATGCTCCTCCCCCTCCCTCCAGACCTCGAACCTCTTCTCAATCTAGGCCTGAAGCCACCTTCACTCCCTCAGCAGCGGGCCTTCGGCCTTCTGCCCCTACCTTTGAGCATAGATCAGGGGATGTCCAAGATGTTGTCTCTTTGGCCATTAGGCAGGGATTGGCTGAAGGCTTCAAGCAAATCCTTCGACCTCCAGAAAGAGTTCAGGCCCTTCTCCCTTCTCAATCTATAAGTTGCCTCATCACCCTGATTTACACAGGCCCCAGGACCTCAGGGTCCATTCTTCTCTACCAGAATGGGAGGAGGTTGATGAGGAGGGAAGGGCTTCACCATCTGAACACAGTTACTTCTCTCGTTCAGAAGGTGAAGAGGGCGAGACCTTTGACCAAAATCTTTCAGAGGAAGAGGACTCTCGCCCAGAGCAGACATCCTCTGCATTGGTCTTCAATCCTTCTCTCTTCAGGCCATTACTCAACATGGCCTTGGTCACTGCCAAGTTGTCGCCAGAGGAAGTGGCTCCCGAGCCACAAGGAATTCCCTCTAGCCAGGGAGACTCATTCTTCCCCAAGCCTGCAGAGCATGCAGGGGTTTTGCCTTCTCCCACTTTGTTCCTGGACATGGTCAAGGAACAGTGCGCTTCCCCTTCGGCAGGTCCTCGCCCATCTTCTCTGGTTAAGCGTTTCTACAATGTCAGCGCAGCCCTCGACAATTCCCTGGCAGCGCCTTCTGTTGACATTCCGGTTCTGGCCTCATTCCCATTTTCTGGCACTTTCACGTGGGCATCCATACGGTGGCTGCACCAACTCCAGATTAGATTGCCTACTTCTGACCTTCAGTCTCGCCAAGGCCTTAATAAGATTATCACAGCGGCGGAATTCACTGCCACTCTCAATGCCGCCAAATTTGCATCTGGGGCCATGGCATCTTCAGTAGCAGCAAGAAAACTGTTATGGCTCAGAAACTGGCAGGCGGAGTCACGCCATAAATGGAAGCTGGTTTCAGTTCCATTCGATAAGCTTTTTGGCGATGCTCTGGAACTTTATCTCATCAAAACCAGAGATAAACGTAAAATTCTCTCTTCCTCTGGGAAGAGAGCTGACTAT